CTTTGGATACTTCAAAAAGTGAGTACCTGAGTTCCACCCCAGACCAATGGAATCAGAGCCCATTGGGGAAGGCCTGGTCATCCATGTATTTTAAAAGGAAAGTCAGGCTTGAGAACCATGAATTAGATCATCTCCTAGGTTTTCTGCTGGTTTTTAAATTTGTGATTTTAACTTATGTGATATATTTGCTTCTTAAGTTCACATCTCAAACTTATATTTATTTTTTTCTGAACGTCAGAGATCTCTTCCATAATTTGGGTTTGGAAAATGCTCCTTCAGTCCTTCTGTCTTCTTCAAATCAAAGAGAGAGAAATATTGGCAAATATTAGGTGCTTTCCCCAAATCCTTGGACTTTTTAAGTGACAGGAGACTGGTATGACTGGACTTTAATTATGGGGTAAATTTATTTTCTATTCTTTCCAAGTCAACCACTTTGCTACCCTCTGCTTCTCATGAATGTCTGATTAACATTCAAACAGATGCTTTATTAAAGCAGTCACTCCTAGAAATTTTGAATGTCTATAAAGCTACTGCAGCCTCGTATGGAAGAGGGAATTCTTTCCAAATCTCACTTTCTTTAAAAATGTTATAGTACAACAAAATCAAAACATTTAGGATGTTGCTACACAGTTAAACAGAATAGTATCCCCACCTGACTTATCCTCCCATCTGGAAGCTACACATGGCAGACACACACACACACACACACACACACACACACACACACACACACACACACACGTAATTCTTTGATGCTCTAATTGCCTTTTGTAAGGTTTGTTACTCTTTGGAACCTTTGTTTTTTTCTTTCAAGAATATCTATGTGTTTTTCCTGCTCAGAGGCGATGGTCTGACGTGATGTGTGAGTGGCTTGCCCCGCCTGCTATTTCCACTAAGTAGACTGTCATTTTAAACTGGTGTTGTAGTCTGTCTTCTTGTTCTTTACTTTGCTCACTTTTTGTCTGCTCATGTAACTGGGTATATATTTTCTATTTTGAAATCTTGTCATCTACCTGTATGTGTAATGACCCTCCAGCATGGCTATGTTACAGCGAGATCTATTCGGATGCTCCAGATTGTCTGTGTCAGTATCCTTTCTCTTCAGCACTTTAACAATGACTGGTTGATAGGAGAATGCTGATGAATGTTCTCTAGGAGTGGGACTTGTCTTTTTTTTAACCATTTTTCCAATTCCACCAAAAAAGCCTCCAATAAGTAGGCCGTAGAAACTATGCAATGACTCCAGCATTTTCAAATTCCATAGCAAGTGTTGAGGATGTAGACTTTTTGTTTCGAGTTTATACTTTTAGCTTGGGTTAGGGAAGTAGTTTACAAACTGTGGCAAGGTAGAGTTGTTGCAAGGAATCCATGGATTCATACGCACAGGTTTATTTTTTTAATCCACAGATTCTAAAAGTATAATGAAAATATGAGTGTGTGTTTGGGGTTAGTAGGGTTGTCCACGAAATTTTTAAAAGTTAAAAGGCAGTCTTCATGTTAAAAATGTTGGGTATCATTGGTTTAGAGAGTGATGCAGGCTAAATAAGGTCCAATCCTATGTGATTTCAACCCACGTTCATCGCTTTTGGATATGCTCCACACCATTCTCACTGAGCCAGTTTACAGAAATTAATTCTGCTGTTGTTCCATGCCTGGTACTGTGTTACATGTCCTGGGTTCTGGGAGGAGACATAAAGCATGTATAATCCTTGCTTTGAGCAGATTCGTTAGGAATTTTGTGTAATGTTTGGGGCTAAGAACTGAAGCTTGGACTTTGTTTGGAGAAAAGATGGTTTTTACTAAAGTATTCCCAAACTAAGATCAGTGAGAGCTCATCATAAAAGCAGAAAACAGTCTTACTTCCCTGAGTCTTTAATTGGTGACAACCAAATGAATTGTTTTGATTGTTGCTTGAAACTAGAGAAGTCTGGTTATTTCAGCTACTCAACCCAAATGTAAAAGCAGCATGCACAGTGGTCAAGATCACAGGCTTTGGTTTTGTTAAAACCTGGGAATGAGTCCCAGCTTTGCCAATTACTAGTAACTGGGCAATAGTACTGCCCACATTGTAGGGTTGTTGTGAGTGCTGAGACTGTGAAAAACAAGGGCTAAGCTTGGTGCCCAACTTATAAGAAAGACTCAATAAAAACTGCAGATATTGTTTAGTTCACAGTGTGGGGGCTAGTAAGTTACGGCTGGCCTCCTGTGTTTGTGAGTGAGGTTTTATTGGAACGTGGCCATGCCCATTTGTTAACTTACCATCCGTGACTGCCTTTGAGCTACAGTGCCCCAGCCGAGTAGCTAGAGCAGAGGCCCGACCTCCACAAACACTAAACTACTTACTTTACAGAAACCTTGTATATAGAATAAGAGACAAGAAAATCAAGGCCAAGAAATCTAAGCCAACAATTCAAAAACACACAGCAACAACAAAAGTCTAAAAATAGTGAAGAGGAAGAAGTGGTCTGGGAATTTAAAACAAAAGCAACAGAGCTAGAACCTTGTGATCTCCTTTCTTAGTCTACCACGTAGATATCAGTTGAACATAATGGGAAAGTGTAGGTGAGAAGGACAAGAAACTGATTTTACGTGACCAAAGTGGCTGAAACTGATTTTCTCATCAGGAGCTAAAGAAAAGGCTGTGCTTGCATGGGAACAAAGCCAAGTAAGAAAGGGTCCAATTAAAGTTAAATGGTTTAAAAAAAAAGTATAAGCTCTGCTTCAACTAATCTCTATTAGTTCTTCTGGGGATAAAATGTTGTTGATAGGGATTGGGAACAGGATGATGAATAAATTAAATTTAATGTAAATGTCTTGATTTAATAATTTCTGCTGACTTTGTAACCTAGTAAAAGTTCAGTATAATTTGTTTCTACAAAAGTCTTATCTGAAGAAAAGGGCAGAGTCTATCCCCTGGATTCAGATATAATTCAGAATCTCCTATAAAAACTGGAGTTTAAATTGGCAATTCCAGATGTTCTAACCCTAATTTATAAGTTCTATAATTTTCTTTAATATTTATAAAAAAGAATTAGGGAAAAGGACACAGTAAATAATAGGAGAAACTTACTAATTGTTGATGTTATTGGGCCATAGATGTAGCAGGTTTCATATCGAGTCGCTAGAACGTCAGTGCCAATCTTTGCAACTTTGGCCTGGAGAGAAAGGAAAGTTAGACTGAAAAATAGAATGCTATGCAAATACCATTAATTACTGAGGATTTAAAAAGTCAATTTGATTGGTTACTTGGCATTTGAAGATCAAAATAAGAGAAAAGGCTAAATGAGAAATTTATTTTCAGTAATATGTTGTCATTGTAAGGATGCTTCTAAATGTGAAATCTATT